TGCGTCAGTGCTAGCGCCCTGAAGCGAACCAGTTCTGGATGTTGGTGCTGTTGTTGATCCGACCGGCGGTGCTTTGTGGCGCACACGGCGAGGAGGCACATTCATCTCTGTTTTGCGCGCTGGGCCTGCACTTGCATCTTGCTGCGTTGCCTGCCGTTTTCGAGCCGTAATGCTCAGATTCACTTCACTAGTACTAGTTGGTTCTTGTCTCTCGGCTGATGTGCTGTGCAAAGAGCGCGTAGCAGCTGCATCTGTTGCAGCCGTCTTATGACCGACATTTTCCTTCTGAGCTGTCTCCATTGAACCATCTGACAATCGTTTCCCAGCACCTTGCGTCTGTGTAGTATAGAAACCGCGCCACTGATTTGCTAATCTACGCGCGTGATGCATGCCTGCATCTGCAAAAGTTAACCCTGCCTGCAGAAGGGTGTGCAAAATTATTCCCAGCGCATCCAAGTTCCACCAAGCATCACTCACTCGATGCGCGTCTGTCTCGTCAACTTGCACATCTGCGCCTCTTTGGTCACAGAACCGCTGTAAGATTTCACGCACTTGCTCAATCTGCGGTGCGCGCAAAGCGGTCGCTGCGCCTATGCCGGCAGCGCAGCCAATTGTTCCAAACGAATTTGTCGGCGGCGCTACAGTGCACGTTGCACTCATGTCATTTTGTTTGCTACCTTGGGCTGCTGTCTGCGAGTCGCCACTTGTGAACACAGGCCGTTCTGCTGGGTTAGCAGGCAACAAGGCAGCGTAACGGCCGTTTTTGTAGCGATAGAGGCGGAAGACTGGCACCAGCAAGCTGTCATGTCGACCGTCGAGCGGTACACTGAGGTCAGTGGTAGTTGAATCGTACACATGTACCTCAGCACTCACCTCACCTCGGCTCCCACTTGTGAAAAAAAACACTGCCTTCGCGAGATGATGCTGTAAATCGCAGGCTTCGTCGCCTTCTAGTTGCTCCGGTTCTAAACTTGCCTGGCATGTTCTACATAGGTGAAAGCGTGCATCCTGACGCGCAAGCAAATCTGGACACTGTAACATATATCCGTGAAAAATCAAATTTGCTAGCAGTGCATCAAGCCAGGATGTCGGGAAAGCCGTGCCATGAAAGTACCACGCCATTTTTGCAAATACGGTTTCTGCTCTTTGATCTGCTTGCTGTTCTAGTCCCTCCTTGCTGCAACTCAGCTTCTCAGGTGTGCCACCGCTTCTCTGCGATTCTCGCTGCAGAGCATTGAGTTGTGATCCTGTCGCAATGGTGGCCGCTACGGTACGGCTTCTCTTTTTCTTTGGTTCGGTGTCACGCCCAGCGATCGGGAGCAAGCTATCAAAATGATACCCTCTACCCCGAACAGAGGTGTGGTTATAAATGTGTAGCTGCAAAACAGGCTGTCGTGGGTACCCATGGCCAAGGTTCACTGCAATTTTATTCCCGTCTGCACCTGCAGCGTGCTCACCAAATCTGTCATGCACATGAATTAGCACATTCGTGCGCGCAACAACGCGAAACCAATGGAACAAAAAACCTACAATTCTGGGGCCATCCCGGTGCGCATCCAAGAATGGGAAAAGCCCATTGCTGCCTGGAGCCACTTCGTCCCCAATCTCTTGAATCAAATGCTTTCTGCATGCAGCTGCAACGCATCACCTGGCTGTGACATCTGCAGTCAAGTTATGAAGCAAAATGTGTTCATACGACAAGCACAATATCAGGGAATCGATCAAGCAGTTATTCACGCCGTGTGACAGTGCTTTCCGCCACATGAACCCTTCGGACGCCAAAGTCTGCAATGCTTGGGTGTCGGTCTTGCTTTGGTAAGGGGTGTTTTGCTGGGCGATGTCGCACAGTCGCTCCGCAATTGTAACACAACAGCGCTCTGTCGCACATTGGCGCAATTCTTTCCAGCCGTCCCAAGTTGGAACCCAACTCTGTCCAAGCACCTTTACTGCGTTATCTGGTGTGTCAACTCGAGACAGTACGAGTGCTTCTACCAGCTGCCGTGCGTCGTCCCAAGGAAGTTCTACGTCTGCTGCGTCCTGTGGCTGCACCTTCAGGCCTTGTTCGTCATAGTTTCCCATTCCTCTTGGACGGTTTATTCCTCCCGTGCACAAAGTCAGCATTAAATCGTTGAATGCTTCCTCATTCGTATGTAGCAACCCTTGGTTCTGAAACGTTTTGCTGAGACATCTTACTGCAAAAGTGTCCTTTACCTCTGCCAATAAACCATCGTCAGTCGCATGGCAAAGTGCGCAGTGGAAGTGCCCGACTTCTCAAGATCCGTGGTTGTCGCACGCTCCGCGACCACAGGTGTAGCAGTGCGACACATACTCATCACTCAATTGTTTTGGGACATATGCGCTTTTATATGCTAAACACATGAAACACTGCAATTGTTCTGTGCCGCCTCCTTGACATCGCACAGGCAGCGCCCCGCGCATATCAAGTGCATACTGTCTTGAGCGTCTTGCATGTTCGAGCTCAATCGACGGCTTTCCCGTGTGTGTTTGAACTACCGACCCCAACGCATCAGGGGACACATCAATGGTGTTGTTGGCTACTGCCATTCTTGACTCCATCTTTTCTATGGGAAGTGTTTTGACAGTTTGCGACAAACGACGCTTCGGGAATTGAATCCTCCCATGCAAATGATCCGCCGACCCCAGCAGCTGGGGAGGCGCAAGTGGATGCCGATACAAAGCATCACTTGAAGTCCAAACTGGAGCCAGTCCGCCCTCAATAAATTGACCACAAAGAGCACTGGCATCATCGGCATGATAGTGTGTACCATTCTTGTGCTTGGTATGGTTGATGCATTCCAAATACTGGGCGCGCGTTTCCTTAATGCTGGTGTTGCCGTCGTGTGGTTTTCTTTGTCTTGCTTTTAGCCAGCGTGTGTCGTTTTTGCCACTTTGTTTTTTCCCTTTGAGGCTGCGGCCGTGGGTTGGCTGGTCAACAATATGTTGACTCCTTCCATGGAAATTAGCCTTAGGAAATATTGTTTGTTTACTGCTCTCTTCCTTTATCTTGCTTCCAAAACGGGCGTTCTGCAAGTGTCGGTGTCCGCCGAGCAAATTTGTTCGATGCTTAAAGACTATTGAAAGTAAAAGTCGGTTTGCATGATGCTGTTGCAGGTTCTTATGCATGTGACGCTTTGGGTTGCTCCTCCTCCTCCTCATTGTACCATTAAACAAGCAGGATGCATGCCTAGGTGCGCAATGGTCGTTGTGTAGTTTCATCGTCGGTGCCGGCGCGAGCGCGCAACTATGATTGTCATTTGTACCCGCGGCACCAGACGAAGAAACAACACACACTGAACTAGGATGAAACGAAGACAAGTAAGCATGATCAACAAATGAATCCAGATCGAAGGGAGATAATAAAGAAGAAGAATTTAAACCCGCCGACCCCAGCAGCTGGGGAGACACAAGTGGATGATGGTACAAAGTCTGCTGCCGTAATGAAGAACCACAGCTGGCACCTTCGCATCGTGTCTTACACATCTTTACCTTAAAAACTAGGTTTCGAGTAGTGTATGTTGAGCTACGTTGTAATTGCCCTACCTGTTTGATTGTGCTACTTCGCCACCTGCAGGTGATTGCACAAAAGCTAGTCCTCTTGACATGTTCCCTTTGTTGTCGCGGTTGCTTTTTTTGGTTGCTGCCTTTCCAAGCTTCATGTTCGTGAAACTGTAATGTTTCTGCTCCACCTCCTCGCAATCGGACAGGTTTCATATGGATATTAGGTCTGTGGTTCTGCTCCAATAGTTTCTAGTTTCCGCATCCTTCTTGCCTGTTTTGTGCTCCACATTGTCCTTTGTCTTCCTTCTATTTGGGGCTAGATTCTGAGTACCTAACTTGCCATTGACTATCGAGCGCAAACTCGTCCAGATTCTCCGGGCGCGTGTTTTGCGGGCATGCCCCACCCATTCCAAAAGTATCACCTTGGAGAATCTACGCTTTGTCACTAACTTAAGAATGCATCCCAGATCGTAGGGTATTAGTTTGTAGGGGTTTGCCCGTTCATGATTTTCAGGAATGCCTACCTGATCTCAGAAATGCCTAGGTGATTTGAAAATGACATAGGCATTTCTGAAATTTAGGTAGGCTAATCTGAATTTTGGTAGACTAATTTGTTGTCCAGAACGTTGTGCAAACAAATGTGGTTTCATTTTTTTTACAAAATATTAAAAAAAACAAAATATTTTCAAAAAGATAAAATCTAAAATATGGTAAAACGTTGATTGAACGTTTACCTGCGGTTGTGTTATTGTAGACCTCACCTGCGTGAATTAAATCATGTCATTGCTTCGATCATGTGTGTGACTTGTGTCAATTTTGTCAATTGAACCGGTCAATTCTGTCAAAAATTTTTAAAAAATGTCAAAAATTTAAACAAAATAAAAATTTTAAAAAATAAAATTAAAAGAATGAAGATGAGAAGCTGAACTCAATTAGTCAGTCAGTCAATTGTTTCAAGTGCCACAATCAGCTGAAGTCAATTGATCCAATTGCCACTTCTCGCCGAGCCTGCAAGCAAGTTATTAAGAATTACTTTTGAAAAAATGCAAGCAGGACCAGCAACAAACAGTAGGCAGGCCTAGAGCGTCATCCAGACCTGATCTGGTTCTTGAGTCTTGCTTTGGGAATGCGAATGGGAAGTGATATTAATAAATGTCAAAGAAGTCAAGCATGCCTGCATTGAACTCTTGGTAGCGGAGCAAGCTTGGTAGCGGAGCAGAACAATTCCAACCTCAGTACACATATTTGAAGTATTTCAAAAAGCCAAAGGGCTAATGACTCAATTGAGCTAATTGACTGAAGCACATGAGATGGCAAGCGCTGAACTTGCAGTGCTCTGTCACTGATTGCGCATTTTTTTTGCTGGAGCAAATGCCATGTTGCCTCTTGACCCCACAGAGACGGTCAAAGTTGACAGAGGGACGCACCACTCAGGTGAGTCAGCACAAAAGAACCCTTGGGCTATAGTACTCTTGTCGCATTCAAGACACTTTTGAATGGACAACGCTGAGCAAATTGAGCGTTGTGAAGTTTTCACGAAGCTCGAATCTGCTCGTAGATTTGGGCGACACAAGCGCCAAACTCTGGCGTGTAGTGCTCGCTTTGATGAGCATCTCCTTATTGCCAGTGTAAGTGTGGCTTCCATCCCAGCTCTGGCCACTGGAAGCCAAATTGTCCAAGCCATCTGGCCTTGGCCTGGCGATGGCTGCAAATAGGGAGCCAGGCCCTGAAGACGGATGCCAGATCTGGAGAGGCTTGCTTGTTGGGCCAGCAAAGCTTCCCATGTAGGTCACTGTCTTCTTGAAGTCGAAGAACCACAAAACATTACGAAGGGATGGTAGTTTTGGAAGCACACTCCCTGTGGGTTGCTCCAACACCGGAATGCAATCCAAGAGGAAACTGAAGAACATCATCATTGCAGTTACTTCCTGTTGAAGGTTGCCCTGCTCCACCCATGGCCTGCTTCTATCCCCGTAGAATGAATTCTCCTCATATCTCATGCTTTGAGAGATACAGAGCGGGACGAAGCTCGAGCATCTGGTAGCAAACCAGTGTAACGACTTTCGCCGAGAAGCCACTACCATGTCAAACCAAGTCCTCAGCCCCTTGGAACTCAACATGTCATGGTGGGGATGAAAAAGAATGTCCACAGAAGCTCCTTGGTGAAATCCTTGACGCAGCATCTCTCGACTGAGATGGGCTCGGCCAGCACAAAACTCAACAAATTCCAATTGATCCAATTCATTGAAATTGACCAAATTGAAAAGAAACCTTTCAGCAACCAGCACCATCATCTCCAAGCACGATGTTGCGCCGCGCAAAAAAGGATATGCTTCACACAAAAATGAAGGCCACACTTTCGAGGCCCTGCCGCCATTCTCTTGGTCAAAATCAAGAAAGTCTTGACATGTGGACTTGACATGATGCAGTCCTTCTGGCCAGTCGACACGCCTGCAGGGCAATTAACAAAATGGACTTCGAGGTTATTCATTGATCATCAAAGAATGATTCAATTTCAATTTCAATGCATGTTGTCTCAATTTTCCAAGAACAAAAACAGCATCAGCGCCTATTGAATTTGCTGAAGGCCAAGAAATCATAGAAATCTAACGAAGAAATCTGTTGGAGCTTGTCATCCAGCCATTTCTCTTGATCGTCATCTTCTGAAGCTGCACTTGGGCCTTGAAGGCTGGCACTGGCTGTCACAGTGGACAGCACCATCACCGGAAGAAACGCGAGGCCAGCTTGCTGGTCCATGATGAATAAATTGACACAAATGACCAAAATGGCAAAACCAACAAATGTGCTCATGGGCCAAAAAACCTGCGGTAAAAGAATTAATCAATCCAGTCCACACTTTTGTTTGGTTTCTTCACTGACAACAATACCAGTCCAAGGCTTCTGACCCTGCGTATAAAAGTAAAGGCTTCCTGAGTCCTTGGCCTGATGATGATTCTGGCAGCCTGCATTGGCATTGAAAGACCATCCCGGCACAAACTTCAAGCTTCAATACCACTGGCCACTACACAAATCAATCTGGTTCAAGTCAATTGAGTCAATTCACAATGACACATGACAAGCAGGCCCCAACATTTGACAAAGCATTGAAAAAATACCATCCAGGTGCAACCCTCAGGCTGTAATACCACACAAATCAATCAATTGAGTCAATTCACAATAAACACAAGCAGCCCAACATGTGACAGGATTATTTGATTCCCTTTTAAACAGAGCATCTTCTTGCGATTTTGCAAGTGCATCAGGTGAAGGACTTGCTTCAACCAGAGCGTCTTACCAAGGCCCTAAGGCGATGACTTTGTCATCCCAGCGCTCTTCTACTTTCTCCTGTTATAATTCCTAGGAGGTGGCAGCGCACGCATCTCATCCTTGAGGCCTTCAAAAACTTCATCTGGGACTTCTCCTGGAATTTGATCTCGGATTCCAGGCCCCAATTCCAACCCAGCCAAGACGAACTTTTCCCACATCCAAGTGTGCACTTCTTGAAGTGCGGTTTTCCAGTCACCTGTTGCTTTGAAACTTCTGGAATAATACATTTGTCTCCGGGTTGAATCCCACAGCTCATGTTGGACCGTTCTATTCTTGTCCATCTCGACTTGAAACCTGTGCGCATTCTTGTCAAGCCTCAACTTGAACCAACTGTTGGGCTCAATGCTTCTGAGGAGGGCAGGTGTTGAGTGCACTCGAGGCCCGACATCTCTGCCAGGCACAGGCGCTGGCCGAGCTGGCTCAGCCGGTTGAGCCGGGGGTGCAAGTTCAGCAGCAGGAGCTGCTGCTTCAGCAAGTTCAGCAGCAGGAGCTGCTGCTTCAGCAAGTTCAGCAGGAGGAGCTCCTTCAGCAACTTCAGACGGAGAAGCTCCTTCAGCAACTTCAGCAGCAGGAGCTGCTTCTTCGGGAAGTTCAGCAGGAGGAGCTGCTGCTTCAGCAAGTTCAGCAGGAGGAGCTCCTTCAGCAACTTCAGACGGAGAAGCTCCTTCAGCCACTTCAGCAGCAGGAGCTGCTTCTTCGGCAAGTTCAGCAGGAGGAGCTGCTTCCTCAGCAAGTTCAGCTGCTGCTTCAGCACGTTCAGTTTCGTTTGCTTCACCTGGATTTGGCAGTGGGTCCTCCACATCTGAATTGACGCAATTGCCTGAATTGACAAAATTGACTTGAGCTTCTTCTTCCTCCAAATCCTCTTCGTCTTCCATCTTCACAGCATCGCTTGCTTCCTTGCCTGGTCGCTCGTCATCAGCTTCCCTCTTCCTTTTTCTTCCACTACTGCTTGCAGCCCCTTTTCCTGAGCCTCGGCCACTTCTTCCTTTGCCTTTGCTTCTTCCCTTCACCTTCCCTTTGGCTTTGGATTTGCCTTTGCCTTTGGCAGCCTTCTTCTTGGCTTTTTCCTGGAAGTGGAAAAAACGCAGATGCAATAACATGCCTGTCTTGGAAAAAAAATGAAAAAATTGAAATGCAGCTGGAACAAACTAGCCAGACCAGCAACATTAAACATTTTAATCATCCAAGTTGCTGCTTGCTCCTCCATTTTTTCGTTGAGCAATTTGCGCCACTTCAATTGCTTCTGAGTTTTCTCCTCCCTGTAGACATTCTCCTTGACAGAGCGAAACTCCTTCTGCTCATCCGCGTCCAAGTGGTCAAACACAGCTTTTACCAAAGCTGCTTGATCTGGATCAGATGATGACTTCTTTGTCGTCTTAGAGTCGCACTCCAAGACCAGCTCTGCAAAGTCATCTCCGAAATGCAACGCCAGCTTCAAAAGGATGTCCTTCCTAGACTTCTCTTTGATTTCGGAGCCAAAAAGATGCCTCCCCATCAAGCAAAGATCTGTGAATGTCAGGCCATTGGAGCGCCGCAAGCAATTCTGCGCAAATGTTTCAGGAGGCCCAACCTGTTGCCAGTGGATGCCAAACTCATTGCTCCAGACTAGCTTTGTTTGAAAAGCTGGCATGTTCAGAGAGCATTGCAGCCATTGACAACTTGACGACGAATCCAAAACCCATCGCATCATGCGATAATCATCATCAGCAGCGTCCACAAGCTTCAACGGCCAAGCAAGGGCTTGCCACTTCAAATTGCCCAAAATGAGTAGATAGACAAAATTGACTTCAATCACTTGCCCTTGAAAAGCAAGGCGGTTCAGAAGACCATCCTGACGGGTAATTCAACTGACACAAAAACATTTGCTACACATCATTTTGGTCATTTTCGTCACTTCCCTGGCCTCCAGGCGAACACCTTGGTCAGCAAGCCTTTGCCCGCAGTATTGAATCATCCATTGCCATGCCCCGTATGAGGTTCGAAGCCAATCCTCACTGACAGTGCGCCACATCTTCTTCGTCAGAATCTCTGAGTAGCGAGCTGGTAGACTATGGCTGGATGATTTGAATTCCTGGCGGCAGTTGAAATCATCTCTGGCATCAGGCCACTTGTCCAAGAATTCTTCACGGGTTAGGGCAGCTGGATGGACGATCCCTCTCTTGTCCAAAACCTCAGAGAATTGGCAAACAAGCTGCAACGTAGCTCCAGAGAGCTTCTTGTTGCTGCCTGGGTTCGTGGCCACCCTGCATGCTTGGTGAATGTCCTCAACCACTTTTGAATCCGCAAAGCCACCAATCAGCAGCTTGGCCAGCTCTTGCGCTGCTCCAAAGTCAAAATGACACAAATGACACAAATGACGACAAGGCAAATCGAAGACCGTCTCAATGTCACTGGCAAGCTCTGCTGCAAAAGGAGCCATGCTGCACCGCAAGGATTGAAACCAACGATGCTCCTTCAAGAGCCGCATTCTTGTCACCTGTGCTTGCTGGGGATCTAGAAGCCCAACCCATGTCTCAGGTGGAGCTGAGAACTTGGAAAGCGTTGCGCAACGATTCATCAAGCATCCAAGAGCATAGGTATTCACTCTGGCAATGAAGGCCTCCTGGTCAGGCACAAACCGCTCAACATCGGCCCAAGTTTGAGCGCTCCACGATTCAGCAAGGGTCTGGAGAGACTGATGACTCATCCATGACTCGACCATTTCCAAAGATTCAATGATTGCATGCTCTGGGCTTTTGACATCATGGATCTGCTGCGAGTACCACGACCACATTCCATATTGAACTCTGAAGATGATGTGGGCATCTTCCCAATACATCTGTGTCAAACAGCCTTTGAGGCCTAACAAACCAGACTGACCATCAGTGTCAAGATCTGTTGGGAAGTACCACGAGAGGAGCATGAGGGAGCTATGCCATTCTTTCAAGTGGACAGCAGCTCCTTCGTTCCAGGAAAACCATCTGCTTGCCTTGGCAAGTCCGCCCTTGAGCCTCCACGATTCCAATTGCTCGGGAATGGAGTCAAAGATCTCCCTGTCGGAGCACCCTTCCATACCAAAATCATTGGCAATTCTCTCTTTCAATGCCTGAAACCATTGGCAGTCCTGAGCTGCTTCAAAACTTGATTTCAAATATGATTTGTTCCAGTAGCCTACATTCGCAAACAAACAAAATCAACAACCAACTTCAGCAAAAAAGTGAGATCCAAGCAAATGACCCAGGATCAAAGCTGTTGGATTCAAAGAATGCTTCCAAGATCTGAGTTTTTTCCGTAAACCATTGGCCACTTCCAAAAGGCTTGGTGTTGACGCTGAACAGATACGTTGTTGCCAAAACACAAGATTCCAAGCCAGCTGCTTTGATTGGGTTTTTCAGGTCTCTCAACAGGCGGTGAATCTTGTCGAAGGTGAAGTGGATTTGGAGGCCAGCTTGGGAAGTGACAAAGGCAGCAGCTGCGCAGCCAACTTTGCCTTGGTCCATGATGCAATGCAAACAAGGCAAATCAGACAATTGACGTAATTGACTTAATTGAAACTCCTCTCCATTCAGCACTGCGACATTGTCGTCAAAGAAGAAGTTATCGCCTGGTTGCAGCTCCAACATTTTGAGCAAGACTTCAGGAAATTTAAAATCATCCAAGCGAAGGTCAGTCAACTTGCATATCTGGGCCGAAAGGCCTTGCAAGAACTTCAAGCTGCTAAGCCGTTCAATTTCCCGTCTCGCTGCCAAGCGCTCTGCTTCTGGTGTCAGCTCCATCTCCTGTGGGTGTAACACTTTTGTTGACCTGACGTGAACTGAGCACATGTGAGCCCCTACTCCATTTACAGGGTCATAGGCCAGGCTCATCAGGTAGTCCTTGTTGCTATGAGTTGAGGCATCCGTGACAATGGCGAAGTTCTTCACATTCAAGAAACTTAGCCTTGATGACTGCCTGTACATTGACAACAATTTTCTCTGCCAAACCCACGTCAGCTGCTCACTGATTCCTCCTTGTGGGTCATCTTTTCGCAGAGCACAAATCTTTTGGTATGACACCCCAGTATCCTTGCTTTGCTCAATGACACGCCAGATCTCATGAGGACTCATCTTCCGCAGATTTGCATCGGAGTTCCTCTTTGGCAAGGTTCAAAACCTTTAATTTCCACACCTTCGAGAATTCACACAGGCACAAAACTATTTTACAGTAAACAAAAAGTAATGCATTTTGACTACCACCTAGCCTTCTCACGCGTCTGGATGGCACTGGCTGAGAATCGTCCTGCTGGGTCATCATCTCAAGCACCACATTGTTGACAACCCACGCCACAAACTTGAGAACGCATTGTTGCAGATTTCTCATGCTATCGGTGGAGAAAGGGGGAGGCTGTCGAAACGAATGGGCCGCCTTGTAGGAATGTATAAAATTGACACAAAACATGAGTAAATCCACCAAGGAAGGCTCCTCATCATCGTTGCTGGAAATGTCTTCTGTCAGAAGTGGCCCATTGTCTTCCCTGGCCATCCACTTCCACAGTGTAAGCCATAATTGAACCACCTGTTTGTGAACATGTCTTCCGAGCCACAAACGAAAGCCTTGCAACTTCCCTGTAGGCAGAACATGCATAGGAAAGTCACCAACTGAAAACTTCAGCACATCATTGTGGCGACTTGCTTCCTGGGTGACCAGCATGCCAACATCTTTGAAATAGTTTCTCATAGTCAGCGCTTTGGCATCAGTTCTTGATTTGTTGAGCAAGTCGAGCAAAAAGTGCAAGACAAGCAATGTGCTCACTGCATCAACGGCCAAGCACCCTCGCCTGCACAACAAATGCTGATGATTACTCTTGATTACATAATTGAAACAACCTCTTCATGTCAAATCATGTCTAACATAGTTCGACCATGATTCATCAAGGACAATTTTGTTTTGGGCAAATTGGCTAGCCTTCTTTCCTTTTTCACATGCAAATCTTCCCTGGACAAGTGTTGCCCTTCACAGCATTGTTCCTGGAGCTCCTTTAACATCTTGTACTTCTGCTTCTTTTCGCCCAAAGCATGAAGGTTGTCATAGACATAGGCAAAGTCCCACATGAAGCCAGCAGGTCCATTGTAGCCAACTTGGCCAAACTTCAGCAATGGGTGATCGCAAGCAAAGGGCTCCAAGTCTGTAGTCAGGGACTGAAAGTCGTCACGCCCTTCCTGACTGTCACTGCCGCCATCATCGAAGTCCATGAGACAATTCACACAATTGACTCAAATTGAACTACCTGAAACTCAAATGATGTCTTACAGATTGGCCATGGTTTAGGTTTGTGATCTCTTACTGATTGTCCATGGTTTGGCACCATTGCTGCACTGCAATTCAAACATCATTTGTTCAAAGCCTGAAGATTGTTTGGTTTCATTATATATAGTTTTTTTCAATTGAAGTCAATTGATCCAAATCTGGCAGGCACATACCAACTCACCAATGTGCGAACAGCAATGAATGACTTCCGGCAGTCTTGACAGTTCAACTGTTCAACTTCACCATCATCATTGCACAAGTGTAAAGAATTCAGAAAGTCAGTGAAGTTCCAGCCTTCTCACTCCACAACGAAGCCTGCAGAAAAGTAAGCTACAGAAACAACACAAGTAAAAAAAGGAGCTCCAGCACAAGCTTTTAACGATTCAATGAAAGCAGCTTGCAATAGCAATAGCATAACAATGCATTTTCCCCATCATCTCTTCCAATGGAGCTTCAGACCAACGCCTTTGCTGCTGGCAAACCACAATTGCAACTCACACACCTCAATTGATGGCAATTGACACAAATGAAGTGCGTCAAAGCTAAAGTGGTCCGGCATTTAGCTGACTCCACTGCAGAGAGAATCCCCCCCAAATGAGACAAACTATAAAATTCGATGATGGCCAGCCAATGGTTCAAAAAAACAAAAATGAGATTATACTATAGACAACTCATAAACAACTCTGCTGCAACTTAAAGTTTCCTCACTGGCTTGACCAAGCCATCTGCCAACTAGATTGGGCCAAGTTCAGCCATCGGATCATCTGCCAGTCACTCACTCAGACTCACATGAAGTCCACAACCTCGAAGTCATCCGCTCCTCGAACAGCTCGATCACCAGCCGGGGGCGTGATCTGGCAACGGAGAGGGCAACGCTCTTCGAAGTTGGATGTTGCTGTGTACCAGCTCTCCATACAAGAAAGATGATATATGTGGCCGCACCCAAGTGTCTTCATCGCGCCATTGGTCATCTCCTGCTGGCAAATCAGACAAATGGGTGGGCCATCTCCATCTGCAGCTGGCACAGTCACAGCTGCTGCCTCAGCAGCTGGGCTAGGCTCGACAGCCAGGTCCACAGCTGGGCTAGGCTCAGCTCCCTGGGCATCTCCATCTGGGCTAGGCTCAGCTGGTGGAGTGGCATCTCTCACAGCTGCCTCAGCAGCTGGGCGGGCTGGAGCTGGCGGAGCAGCTGCCTCAGCAGCTGGGCTGGCTGGAGCTGGCGGAGCAGCTTTGCTTGTTGTCACAGCAATTGGGGCAATTGACGCAATTGACGAATTGCGCGCAGGGGGGTGAGGCAACGCCGGCACAGGTGCTGCAGCCGGACGCCTGCCTGCAAAGAACTCAGCAACACTGGGCGGAGGAGCCTTTGCGCAAGAAACAGGCTTCAGGAACTCATCTTTCCATCCCTGAGCAACAGCCACATCATTGACCTCGGCATCCCCCAAGACCAACGGAAGCTCCTGGACGATGTTGTCAGGAAACCCTTCGCAGGAATCCTTGATCCTGTCATGGGCCTTCTTGAACCTGTTGCCAAGATCCTCATACGAGGTCACACCTGGGCGATTGATGGTGAGATGGGTACAATAACTTTTGACTGATGTTGAAGAATCTCTATCATTGTATATTTTACATTATTAATATATAAATGTATATAAACATTTCATTGTCATTGGATGACATTATCTGTGGCTGCAAAGACACAACAACTCAACACAACATGGCCAAACAGGGACAATCTAATGAACTACACAAACAACAACTAAAGTATTAATAATCGTAATCTAAAACAACAACACTGATTGATTCTCACCAAATCACGAAGATTCGAAATCTTGAGAGATGGCTTTAACTTCGTGATGATCCAGAGAAGCTGAAGAAGACCTCGCTGGGTGAGGCCACTGGTGTAGCCGGCATCCAGGGCTGGCACCAACTTCTCAATGGCATAGGAAAGTCTTGTCATGGGAATGCCTGACAACCACAGGAAGCAGACCATATGACCATTCATGAAATGAACATTGCACAATTTTATCTTGCAAACATTTTACCATTTTCCCACTAGCATGGTAACTAAAACAAACATATGATCATCATATCAACATAAATTAAAAAACATAGGGTCATCATATCAACATAACATAGGATCATCATATCAACATAACTTAAATTGAATCAAACATAGGATCATCATATCAACATAACTTAAAACAAAAATAGGATCATCATATCAACATAACATAGGATCATCACATCAACATAACTTAAATTCAATCAAACATAGGATCATCATATCAACATAACTTAAAACAAAAATATGATCATCATATCAACATAACATAGGATCATCATATCAACATAACTTAAAACAAACATAGGATCATCATATCAACATAACTTAAAACAAAAATAGGATCATCATATCAACATAACATAGGATCATCATATCAACAAAACTTAAAACAAACATAGGATCATCATATCAACATCGGTTACATACATGTCCCACCCCAGGCCTCTGATCATACTTGCAGACCTTGTGATGGCAGCATCATCACTCTTGTTGTAAGGGAGCACAGGCGGCGGCTGGTGCTCAGGCTGAGCAGGGACAGGCACAGCAGGAGCCACAGGCTGCGCAACCACAGAGGCCGAAGCAGCAGCAGGCTGAGGAGGAGGAACATCTTGGACTGCACCAACATCATCATCATGGAATTCTTCCTCATCTTCCCCAGCCGCAACATCTTCCATCATTCGACGCATGGCTGCTGGGTTCATCATTCCACCCATCATTCCATTCATGGGTCCCATCATTCCATTGCAGCCACCCATCAACATAGGCGCCATGCCACCTCCCATCATGGGATTCATCATTCCACCCATCATGGGATTCATCATCATGGGATTCATCATGTGTTCCATCATCTGGGGCAAAGTGCGTTGTCTCTTGGAAGCTCGGTTCACAGGGGCAGCTGGCATGATGATCCAATTGACTCAATTGTGTCAAATGTGATGGCTACAATTGCTTGACTCACTCAATTGCTGCAGCATGATTTGCAACGTTATTGATTTAACTACATTGGTATCATGTATCGTGTTGATTCTATCACCTAATCATGATTTGCACACCATACAACGTTATTGATCTAACTACATTATTATCATGCATCGTGTTGATTCTATCACCTAATATGTCTCAATATGTCTCAAAATGTCTCAAAATGTCTCAAAATGTCTCAAAATGTCTCAAAATCTCAAAATCACTCAAAATTTCTCAAAATGGCATTTTGAGACATTTTGAGACATTTTGAGCATTTTTGAGCAATTTTGAGCCATTTTGAGCCATTTTGAGCAATTTTGAGCAATTTTGAGCAGATTTTTTGGGCAGGTATAAGTACTTTTTAAGCAATTTTGAGCAGATTTTTTGGGTAGGTATAAGTACTTTTTAAGTACTTTTGAGCAATTTTGAGCAATTTTGAGCAGATTTTGTGGGCAGGTATTTTGAGCAATTTTGAGCAGATTTTGTGGGCAGGTATTTTGAGCAATTTTGAGCAGATTTTGTGGGCAGGTATTTTGAGCAATTTTGAGCAGATTTTTGTGGGCAGGTATAAGTGCTTTTAAACAATTTTGAGCAATTTTGAGCAGATTTTTGTGGGCAGGTATAAGTACTTTTAAACAATTTTGAGCAATTTTGAACCATTTTGAGCATTTTTTAGCATTTTTTTTTGGGCAGATATAAGTCCTTTTAAATAAGTTTGAGCAATTTGGAGCAATTTTGAGCAGATTTTTTGGGCAGGTATAAGTACTTTTAAGCAATTTTGAGCAGATTTTTTCTTTTGGCAGGTATAAGTATTTTTAGAACAATTTTGGGCAATTTTGAGAAGTTCATACAAGTATTCATAGTTTTGAATATTTACATCCATGCACTTGACATTATGTCTTCATATCTAAATTTAAATTCTGAAAGTATATTGTGTGAGTATATTGGTGAATATTGAATCCAACTGAAACAGCTGAAGCAACTCAATTGATTGACAATGACCAATTGACACAATTGAATCATGTACTGCAAATTGATGCTTGAGACAAAGACCATGCCTGCTGTTCGAAGAACGCCACCAAGGCCAATCATTCGATCTGCCTCACACATGGGGATGTCACATAATCTGGCTATGAAGCAATGCATCAGTTGAAACAACTTGGCAGTGAAGTTTTCTGGGATGACAAATTGACTCAATTGACTCAATTGACTCACTTGAGATAATTCTATGATTTGAGAACTACACACTTTGTGCATCCTATGTTAACTGAGCCCATCCCACCAAGCTTCATCAATGATCTGCCTAACAAACAACTTTGAACAACATAAACATGAAGCATCCGCTGCCATGACAGTGTTTCACCATGCTTCTGCAACATGATCACCTTGCACTGGGATTAGCATTCACCTTTTTTAGCTTCCTTTTTGCATGGCTGTGGTCTTTATGAGCACTAGGTCATGGCTGTTCACAGGGACCATCCACTTGCAATGATCTGCGCAAAAACGTCATTGCTTCATTCTTGCTTAAATAAAACACGACAGCATGGGCTCATAGACTGGAAACAAACACCAAACCTTGATTTCTTTGTCTGTCAAAACCATTCACTGCTTTTTGCAATAGAACATGACACAATTGATACAAATTACACAAATGCCACAAATTTATTGAGCTCAATTGGCCCAGAACATTAATTATGCATTTCACCGCCAAGATGAACAGGCATCAAGCTCTTCTTGACCTGGAGTACAAGCGCTTCTTGACAAGTTGAAGATATTATTTTGGATATCGAATATGACATCAATGTTTTTTCAACTATCATGAAAGCTCACTCATGACATGTCAAGCCAAGTTGCGAATTGCGTTGCGCAACCAGTCATTTGACTCGAACTTGTCCCCCCAGCGAAACAACATGT